TGTTTCGCTTTTTATTAAACCAATCAGAGTGACAAATTCTCACACAGTGTAAAGAATATTTCAGAACAGACTTATGAGTGAAGGAAGGGAATAGTTGGCCTTTCTTTTAGGAAGGGAAGGAAAAGACAAAAGCAGATCTGACCAATATGAATAATAAGATTTAATCATTATGAACTTATAAGAAAAATAGAGAAAATTTATTGTGTGATTTGATATGTATTAGCATTATGATTGTCAGTAAGTGACTCCATGAGGCATGCAAAATTTTACTCATCATTTTCAAAGATAGCTGGAGCTTAGAGGTTAGGCCAGGTGACACAACCAGCAAAGAGTGTGAATATGGACTCTTTATTGTCTCTCTTCAAAGCCTGTGCTCAATAATGTATGAATGTACCAAGTCCTTCAACCAGTTGGAAGCTCTTTTTCTCAGCTGTAGAACAGATCAAGAGTACCTGACGATAATAAAGAATAATGAAGGGTGTCCTGAAGTTTCTCACAGTTGATGTACAGTTGATGTTCAGTAAATAGTACTATTTGCTTTATGACTCCCTCCTTAGAACAGTAAAAGACACGAGACTGGATGAACTACCCCCTACAGTGCTGGAGGAAGGATTACTGTTGGGTATTTCCAGTGAAATAAGATGAGCTGAGGGAAGCCCAAGGCTCTCATTCTGTTTTTCACATGCCTCAGGCCGTCTCTGTTCTCTACTTAGTGAAGTCTGCATTTCTTTTTAAGAGGAAAATGTAATGCATAATTACAGATAATGAGTTAAAATGCAGCTATTTCTATAGTGTAGTGATGATCGACCCTTACCCTCTAAGATACTGATTTCTTAGCACACAGTGTCCTACGTTGTCTCCTTTTCAGTGTTGGCAAACAAGATTGAATTCAGAGCTAGTCCCAATGTGTGCAGCCACATTAGCTAGCAACCCCAGTGAGACCAGATAGGGAAGAATCTTTAAAGAAACACATAGCTACAACTAAGTCTATACATCCGTCAGCTAATAGTGCTGACGGATGTATAGAAAGAGTAAAGGGAGAAGCATTTCTCTGTCGTTAGTTTGATTTATACTGAGCTTGACTCAGGAACCTCTGATGGCTGTTTATTCCTACACATTCTGTCTTTACAGAGGATGGGCGACTGCTGTATAACACACACAGGGTATACTGGTGACAGGAAATAGTTGCTACTTCAAATAAATGTAGCTATTCAGACTTTTTCACGTGTTGTAAAAGATGAACTGTATAAATAGTGAGTGACCCTAGCTGTTCCCTAACTGGTGAATAGAAAATGAAAATATGGCATATTTACAGTTACTTCTCAGCTAGGAAGGAAAGTAAAATTAGTGCGTAAAAAGGTGAACCTGGAGAAAATCCTGACTGAGATAATCCAGGCCTAGAAAGATAAACATTGTAAGTTTTCTTTCTTTTATGAATGTTAGGTATGTGCTTTTCATTTGGAATACTCCCAGAGGTCAGGATATCACTAGGGGTCATGAAGGGAAGGAGAAGGCACAGGTGTAAGGTCTTAAACGGAAATTATGGACAGGGAGGGATAAATTGGGGTTGGGGAGGGGAGGGTAGGTTAGAAGATGGAAACTGGGAGGGATAAGTGATGCTAAAGACTTTTCAGAGAAGCCATATGAAAACCTACTACTGTAGATGCTTCCTAAGATATATGCACACGTACATAAAGAATTAAAATGAATTATAAGGATTAGGATGGGACAACAGAGGATAACAAATAAAGACCCAGTCCCAGAAATAGTTGTTAGCCTTTGACACCCACCGAGCACCCAAACATTTCAGGCTATTATTACCTGCGCTCGTAGTTTCCCTCCAGAACTTGCCAGTTCATTTTCCTTTTGCCAATAGTGCTGTGACAGTGTGTGAGCTATATAAAGAACAATTTTATTTAGGATTACCATTCTGGAAGTCCAGGGTTAAAGGACCACATGTGGTGATGGCATTCTTTCTAATAAACCCCCATGGTGTACAGAGAGGATGTCACTTGGGAAGGAAGGAGTGGCTGGGCAGACTCCATTTCTGTTCATTTTATAGTCACCAGGATTTTATAATGGGAACCCTATCCTAATGACCATATTGAATACTAATCACAAAGGGCTCAACTTCTAACATCATAGTCAGATTAAGTTTCTTAAGTACTTTACAATGAAGATTAAATCTCAGCACATAGATCTTTGGGGGCACATTCATACCATATTTAAACTTCAGCAACCACCATTTTGGAAATGTGTAACTAGATAATAGGTAAGATTGAGGTGAAAGATGATTGGGGTGTGGTCAGAAGAGGAAAAGAGTAGGACTGACCACATTTAGTTATTTTCCTACGTGTGGTACTCAAGAAAGAGACAGAATTCATGAAGCTGTATGAGATTTTTCTGTTCCATAACCTAAAGGTAAGGGCAAGATAAAGACAGTTCTGAGAGAATGCTGGAAAGTCAGTTATGAACATTTTGAGACTACGCTAGGAACTCAACAAATAGTAGGCATATGGAGCCAGGGTGTATAAAACTTTTATTGATCCTGTTTTGACATTATATTCTTTCTGCATCATGTCTTTCCTTTATATAAGTGCTGGAAAGAAAGTATTTAAATTGTTTCTGTTTACCATATTTAAAACAAGTGCCACAGGCTTCCCTACTTATGTTTTAAGATTTCTGCATGTGAGGATGCTGAGGTAATTAAGGTGAATATATATTTCTGTTTGTTTATTTTACTTGTTTGCTTGTGCCTCTTGACCAAAATGAAGTATAGGATGAGCTGTTTAATGTATGGTTGCCTTCATTATCTGTATTACGAATTTTAATGTATTTGCTTATTTTAATAGGGATTAGCTGTCCCTTTGTATTTTGGGCTAATTTTTACTTTGTGATGAGACCTGTAACTTTGTAATGGTAGGTTGCATATCATCATTTATGTAATTTCCACAGTTTTCGTGACAGCAATCTGAGGTCTAGGGAATAGTAACAACTAGTATTTACCGAGTTGTTATCTCATGTAATCGTGTAACAATCCTTTAAATGTGTGAATTGACCTCCCCAAATCACATACACAGGAGCGGGGAAAATGGCTCAGCAGTTAAGAACACTGGCTGCTCTTTGAGAGGACGTAGGTTCAATCCTCAAGCACCCACATGACAGCTCAAATCTGTCTGTAACTTCAGTTCCAGGGAAATTGGTTCCCGCATACATACTTCGAGGCAAAACATCAATGTATATAAAATAAAAATAAGCAAATTATTTTTAAAAATAATCACATACAAAGTAATGGCATGGTTGGTCTCAGCAACTGTTTCCTGTGTAAATGTGCCTCACAGTTTCTATAATCTAGTTTTATGCAGTTGAGATGAACAGTTAATATATTTTCTACTCTTGGGTAAATGTTTTCTTTTATATTTAAATTAATAAAAGGAAATACATTACATTAGCTTGCATATTATTTAGCACAGTGAAATCAATGTTAGTAGAATGCATGCTTACTGAAAGTCTGGGTTGGGATGAAATGTCATGTTTGTCATTTTATTACTCAGCACTGTTTTCTTGAATTTTAGATCTAAATGATTACTTTTGTATAGTGGGATATGTCTGTCTTAAGGAAGATAATATTGAAAACCTAAACGAACATAATGTTCTGTATTTATTCCTTTGCCCCAAATTATGTAGTATAGCACTCAGTTCTAATTTAGTAAATTAAGAGTTTGTTTTGTTTTCTTTCTTTGTTTTAATTAGTATCTTTTTATTAAAATTTCTTTTTAAGCCTAGACAACAATGAGGACTCTAAGAGACATTCATAGATGTAATCTACATGGGTAGTAGAAAAAGACAAGATCTCCTGAGTAAATTGGGAGCATAGGGACTTTGGGAGAGGCAGGGAGGAGGGCAGAGAAAAATGTAAAGCTCAATAAAAATCAATAAAAATATACTATGATGATGGGAAAATATTTGTAACTTAAGAGCTAGCTACTTAAGTATTTTCAAGTGTACAATTAGGCTGTATTAATAGTACTCATAGTGTTATGTAGTTGTCATTTCTATTTATTGCAAATTTTTATTGTCTCAAATAGGATCGCTAAAACATCTTACTTTTTGATTTTGATATGGTCCATCTATCTTTAGCCACCTATATAATGTAATAATCATAATAATCTGCTTAGGCTAATGAATGCTGAGTTTGTCATTGTTAGAATGGTTCCTTTTGTTTGTATTTGTTTCATATTTCCATCTATTATGAAAACTGCATTGTTTTTCTACATATTGTAGTTTTATATTTACTTTCCAGAGGCAGTGAAACACATATATTTGCAGCTTGTAGGAGATCGAACTAAATGATGTAAACATTCAGATGTTTTTATTGAGTATCCAAAGAAACACTGGATGTTAAGGATTGTTATACACAAAAAAGTCTGGCAGTCTCAAATCAATGCATTTCCTCTCCTTTCTGTTAGATGCCTAGAGCAGGAAGCACACCCAGTAGAAAAGATATTTGGGCCTGTGATCTAACAGAAGTTAATCCGCAGATGCGGATGTAAGCTGGACTCAGGAGAAGGAGGATGCCAAGATCCTCCTTTCATGAGTGTGTGCAAACAGAAATGCAACAGTTTAAAGAGTTTTCAAAACTGAGGTTTAAAATTAATACTTTGTTTTAGAGTTTATTCCTTTTCTTTTGCTGTAACACGAAATTTTCATGGATACTTTGCTTCTCTTTCTGTTTCTTAACCATCACACACTACTGTTGCGTAGTAAATAACAAAATTATAGGAGACCATTTTTCAGAATATTGTTTTTTAATAAAGAATTTAAGAAAAAGCTTGACAGTCATTTCCATTTAACTTCTTTTTATCAAGCAAGATAATTTTATGTTGCTCTAATAATATATTAATACAGGTTTTTGTTGTATTCACAAAGTGTAATTTTATCTACATTAGTGTTCTTGTGTTTTAAACAGTGATGTTTCTAATAGGGTTTATTTATTGCAGCTGAAAGATGGTGGCAAGGCATCACAGGCGCATGTGAGAATAGGCGATGTAGTCCTCAGCATTGATGGAATTAGTGCACATGGGATGACTCATCTTGAAGCCCAGAACAAGATTAAGGGCTGTACAGGCTCTTTGAATATGACTCTGCAAAGGTAAGATGAATTTTGTTGCGGAGGGAGAACTCAACCCTGAGAAACTATTTCTGTATGTTTGATTCATGCTGTGCAAGAAGCAGTTTCTATACTGCTGTTTTTGGTAAATAAATAAAAAGTATAGTGGCTCTTAAATTAGATATTCTTGCAGCATGTAAATTGATGAAAACTTTGAGGCACTTTTCATATCATCCATATCTTCATGAACATTGCTTGCATGGTTTCGAGAATTCAAGAATTCTTAAAAATTTTCAGTAGGGCTCAGGTTAATTCTTACTGTAGAATAAATATTTCTTATTCTGAGCAGTATATTAGGGTAGGGCCTTCTATGATATGGTTTGGCTTTCTCTAGTGTCTTTTTGCCTTTATTATTAAGACTGGACTTCTAAATTTACGACTTTTTGTTGTTGTTAAATTCTTTTGTCCGCAACAATAAATTGTACTCTGACTGATGATAATAAGCCACTGTTTTGAGAATCCCAACAATGGGCCTGCTTTTCAGTCACTATATCACAGTGCTTGTTAAAAGCAGTGTTGCCACACTGAATCAGACGTGGATACGAGGATCAGAGGTGTATGCAGTTGAGCTCCCTGTTATTGTCACATATTTAATGTGCGAGTTAATGCAGTATCTCTGGCTTAGCATGAAGGAGAATCAGCTTTGAACTTTATGTATAAGGATGGAGCCTGATTATTACCAGGTCATAAAGTCCTGGTTTTAATGATTTCTATTAAGAAATAATGGTATTTTTATTCTTTGAGAATTCATGCATACATACGATATATTTTGATTATTTACCCCCTAGCCCTCCCTAAGTGGTTGATAGCATACCTTCCTCTGAAACAACTTCACCTCCCAACATTTCTGGGAGGCAGGACCCACCCCCCCACCTGGCATCAGGGAAAATTTCTAGTACTTATAGTTACTTAGATTTATAGATCTAGTTTGTTGTGTTATGATTGTCTAACCAACTGAACCTTTGCGTTTTTGTAAGTTGAAGAATTTTTTTTTTCAGTGCTGCCACTGAATCAGCAGTTATACATACATAAATTTTTGATAGCTGTACATTTTAATGCATGGAAAGATGATCGGTGAATGATGAAACCAGTCTAATGCTAGTGTTTCCATACTGCTTGTCTGTAGAAGCATGCAACATAAGCATTATTACTATTTAAATGAAGATACACATTTTTCTTTATAGGCATTTTTGCCAAGTTTGATTTTGAAGGGAAATAACAGTAGTTGTCTGAGATATCAAGAATATAAAACAAATACATATGATGATGGGTGCTCCGTACATCCTAAAACTGAATCCATATAGCTGCATAAGCTCTTTTGTGGGCTTTGATCATTTTTTTAATACCAGCATTCCTGTTTTCACATTGTCCTCTTTATTTTATAATCCAGACACTAGAGTCCTTATTTTTATAAACCAGGATTCAGTATTTTATTTTCTTTTGAAAACACTGAGTCTCATAAGAATAGATGAAAACCAGATGTTACCCTGTTTGGATGCATTTCCAACTCCAGCCGTCTGCTACTAACTCTAATAAAGCTACTGAAGCACAAAATCTGACTAACATAAAACCAACTCAATATTATAAACATTAGGGGTTCTGTTCTGTTGAATCTTATTTTTCTTTTTCCAACATTGAGATTCAGGGACTGAGAATATAAGAATTTTAGATTTCTGTTTTAATTAATTGTAATTTTCTTCATGTTTCTGAACTTATTATATAATATGAGCCCTTTATGATATTAATTTGTGCATGTGTATATTTGCATGTGTGTGTCTCTCTCTGTTGTACATGTGTGTAAGTAAGTAAGTTAGATTCACCTCGGCTCTCAGGTTCCACCTACCTTGTAGTTTTCGTTGTCTTTGTACTCATTTGTTAGACCTAGCTGTTCTGTTACGGAGTTCTAGGGACAAACCTGCATGTCTTTACCTCCCCAGTGCTGGGATTAGAAGTATAGGCCATCACTCCTGGCTTTTTTTATGAGTTCGGAGGGTCAGCTAGGTCCTTTGGCTTGTCTGTCAATCACTTTGTTGACAAAACTATCTCTCCAGCCCTACTATGGATATTTTTCAAAATGTATGACATAACATTGGCAGTTCTACTGAAAAAGTGCTTTTGCTTTTTAAAGAGAAAATACAACACTGAAAAATTGTCATTGAGTCTCTCCTACTACGGCCCTCTCTTTTTCAGTTCTTTTTCTTGTATCCCAGCAAATATTCTGAACTTGAGTATTGTCATTAACTGCTTTTTCTGAACAGTCAGGATGTTCTGAATTCCTCTTCCATACTTAATTACCCACAATAGTACTTTTGCATTAGGACTCCTATTTATAAACAGTTTTCTTTGTGAATATGGAATATTCTGTGCAGATTAACCTTAGTCCTATTTTCCTAGAATTAGAGTGTGAGGTTTCTGTCCTGCCTGGTTCTGCAGTCATTCAGTCCCAAAGAATCACAGAGGTCTACATTAATTATAAACTGATTGGCCCAGTCTCGCAGTCTCTTCTTATTAACTAATTCTTATGACTTATATTAGCTCATAATTTTTGTCTATGTTGGCCATGTGACTTGGTACCTTTTTTGGCGAGGCAGTCACATCTTGCTTCCTCTGCAGCTGGGTCACAACTGGAGATTGAGTTTCCTTCTTCCCCAAATTCTCCTGTTCTCATTGCCCCACCTCAACTTCCTGCCTGGTTGCCCTGCCTATACTTCCTGCCGGTTACTGGCCAATCAGCATTTTATTAAAAATAATACAAGTGACAGGATAAATGACCATTGTCCCACAGCATTCTTGGATCTAGCAGGAAGCTGGGGAACAAAATGCAGCTTACTTTTTTTGCCTTGAATTGGGGAACTGGACTTTGCTTCCCTGTTTTGCCTGTGTTAGTTTTTGGTGGGTAGCTATCTTGGAGGAGCTAGGAGAGGAAGGGAGGGTTAGGAGGTAGTCTAATTTTGTTCCACATTAAGTTGCTGCAGTGAATATTTAGGAGCAGTGAAGGGAGCTCTCGGGCTTTGGTGTGCTGGGATACAGGCCTGGCAGCAGCCTATTGTGAGGTTTCTGCCCACACCTGAGGCCTCTGCTCAGGTTATGCTCTCGTTTTAGTAGGGTTGGCCTGTGTTCTCTGATCACTATTGCTCATTACTGAATGCCCCCCCCCCACCCTCATTCTGTTTGACAGAGGTTTCTCACATGTCTTTTTGCTGCCTCATCAAATTCTTTTTGTCTGTTTGCTGCCAATGCATATGCTATTATGTTTACAAAACCCGCTTGGAGCTTCATCTCTTGCTGTGCTCGTTTGCTTTTCGGTTGCTGTGACAAAACATTGATCAAAAACAACTCCAGGACAGAAGGGTTTATTTGGCCCACAGATTACAGTCATCACAGGGGGAAGTCAGGACAGAGACTCAAGGCCAGAGCCTGGAAGCAGGAACTGAAACAGAGACCATGAAGGACTGCTGCTTGCTGGCTTTCTGCTTAGCCTCTTTCTTCTACAAACAGGACCACCTGCCAGGGTGGCACTGTCAGCAGTCCGATGGAGGCTGTCTTTCTTAGGACTTTTTTGCTCTGAAGAGATACCATTACCAGGACAACTCTCATAAAGGAAAGCATTTAATTGGGGCTGATTTACAGTTCAGAGATTCAGTACATTATTGGCTTGACGGGAACACACAGGCAGGCATGTTACTGGAAAAGGAGCTAAGCCAAGAGTTCTACATTTAAATTGGCAGGCAGCAGGAAGAGAGAGTGACATGGGCCTGGCTTGAGCATTTGAAACCTGAAAGCCCACCCCTTGACAAACTGCCTCCCACAGAGACTCAACTTCAATGAATGCCATCTCTAGGAGACTATGGGGACCATTTTCTTTCAAACCACCACTGAGTCATTTCCTTCATTGGGGATTTTTCTTTCCAGTTTGCATGTCAAGTCGACTAAAAACTAACTAGCACACTTGTCTGTGATGTCTTCCTACTGCTGCAACCTGTCCCCCCACACCCGAACTTGAAGGAAAGGGTATATGTTACTCACTTCTGCATTTAATTGTATACTAGGTACAATCTGAACTATCCAGGCTAATTTCATGAGTCATTTACAAATAAACTTAAATAGTTAATGGTCACACCTAGTGCTGTCTGTTGTTAGGCTAATTATCCCATGCATTTTAGTTCTTCCCTGTTTAGACTTGGTGAAAGCAAGACCATACTTTTTGTACTCTTTGTATTTGATGGTAACATATTGTATAATTTAGTATTTTAAATACACAGTCAGTGAATCATTATTTGGTATGTTAGCATTACTTACCAAACTTAGAATTCTTTATTTATTCCACAAATATTTATTGAACTTTACTATAATCCAGGTATTATTGTAGATGCTGAGAACAAAGCAGTGAACATAACAGACTCCCAAAAAATCTCTTCTCTTATAGTACTGTCAGTGGGCAAATAGACTAAAGCCAAGAAAACTGAGAGTATAATACATTGATTGTAATAAACACCAACAAGGGGGGGAAGCATTTAGGGGACTTAGAATGTGCAGACAAAGGGGTTGTTATTTAAAGCCGTGGTGAGGAGAACTGTTCTAGCTTTTTGGGCCTGGGGCTCCTGTTAACTGAGGCAGAAGGACAAGATAGACATTAGCTCTTCAGAGCACTGTAAAGGAAGGCAGTAGGAGGAAGGCGAAGTCAGAGTGTAAAAAGGGGGCAGAAGTAGCTAGAACCTGTAGGGCTTTGGGGGTTGTTAAATGTTTGCAAATATAAGTGAATTTTTCTTATTCTATGGGAGTAAAAGCCATGAGAAACTTCTATAAAGTTCTAACTGCTAGAGCCGAGTGTGAGAGATAAGGGACTTTGATAATGGAAAGAGAGGCTGCTGGAGGGAAGGACATCATACTTCTCTCACTTCTTACTAGTGAACTACTGCCTTTTCTTCTTAGCAGTGTGCAAAAACTGTAGACAAAGACCCTTGATGCTAGATTCCGACGTC